ACCTGTGGCATGTCTACACTAGGAAATGAATTCAAAATAACTTATTTCGAAATAACTCCCAAAATAACTATTTCAAAATAGCATGTCCACACTACAGGGAAGCTTTGAAATTAGTGTAAGGCAGCTTCCCTTAATGTTGACCCGCTACCTCGACTTAGAGCCCCAGGAAGCGTTGGTGAGTAATTACTTTGAATAACAGAGACTATGTCTACGCTGTGGGGGAGGGAGGGAAATGCAATTTGCATACCTTTTTCTGATTCTTTTTTCAGAAGAGGCCTTTATGACATTTGGCCCGTCTTCACAAATTTTGGAAAAACCTCCTCTTTTGGAAGAGCCCTTATTCCTCATAAAAAGAGGAAGAATACGCCCACTTTTTCGGAAACTGATCCAAAAAAGCAGATGTGTTCCCTGGACACGGCAGAGTTTTTCTGGGATACTGCAGGTATCCCATAAAAACTCTGTAGTGTAGACATAGCCTAGGGAGTAGATATTTCAAAATAGCAGCAGTGGAGCAGTGGAGATGCCTACACAGATCCTTTTTGTACAAAAGCCTTTTTCGCAAAAACGGCCCCTAATTAATTATGCAAATGAAGTGTGGAAATATGCTAATCCACGCTTCATTTGCATAGCTTTTGCACAACAATGGTGCAGTGTAGACGTAGCCCTAGTGTGGTTCAATGTCCCATGTTGTGGCACTTGGACCACTCACAGCAAGCAATAACAACAAAGGTGCTTTACAGCCTGAGCTGAGAGTCAGTGGGCTTTATAACTCAAGCTGTAGATGCTCCTATACAAAGGTCCCAGGTTCAAATCTGCCTACTGGCTATTACATAAGCAGGAAATTTGTTTAGCTGATCAAAATGGTCCCTATGGGATTTAAAATCTTGGACATTATAACTGTAGTGGTATCTCAGGATTAGCGGATACTGCTTTAATTAACCCTGTGAAAATGGTGAGATACATGCAAAATGAACACTCAGCAAGAAGTATTTTATACACACAAAAATTCACAGATGATCAAAAACTGACTCACAATAAGGAGGAAACAGAGTTTGTAATAGGTATAATACAAGAGTTAGATATTAAAGAATCTACTCTTCTCACTGAGGCCTGCTCTTCCTGACCCAAGATGTCGAAAAAAAGAAACTAAGCTGGTTGGCGAGACTCTTTGAAATACTGAATATCATGCTTTAAACAGAACATGTTTCTTTTCTCGTATAAAAGAAAGGCCATGTGCTCTCATCACAGTGCTTGCACTACCGATATGGAGAAAACACATGGACTAACAAATGAACTTTGCAATCTGATGCTTCGTATCACATGCAGGCAAAGAAAACAAACAGAAATGGATGAAAGAGCAAGCCTTAAGTTGAAAGATGCTTTGAAATATTTGCTGTAGCTAGTCTAGCTATGTCACAAAAGGACATCGGACAAGGGCATTAACAACATCTCTCTTTAATTAACGGAGATCCCTCAAACTTGAACACAAGGCAGCTATGCAACAAAGCTCCTGCTAAGGAAACCAAAAGCCAAAAAACTCAAAGTTACAACAACTGATCAAACAAAACCTATCTGTAGATGTTATCCAGCTAATTATCACATCTGCCGATGGGTCACAGCCAAAACTAGGATCTCAGGACCCTTGAATCTGGGGAAGCATATCCACTTCACAGCTGGCCCTATAGCTAAAATAAGCTAAACCAAAAGCAGTTCTGATCATCCCCTGGATCAAGGAGACATTTGTATCCAGATGAAATTTTTGCAGCTCTCTCTAGGTCTTTCTGAATGAGAATGTTTGGTGGCACCAGGATAGGTAGTCACTCTGAACTGGGCAGCAGCAATTTGTTGACGATAAAGTGGTGGTTCCTGCTATTTTAACAGGAGCATCAACAAGACAGAAAAATGAAAGCAGAAGCATAGAAGCAAGACGGTTACAGAAAGCTGCCTCCATTTCCGTTCTTGGCTACAGAACTTGTAAGTAAACATTACTTGGCTGTTTTGAAGGGACACCGCCTCTAAGAAATGCAACTAAACTCCTGGCTACAGTCCAACACTTCTAAAAACACCATAGCTAGCTAAAAGGGCAGGGTAGATCAGTTCCCCGCAAAGACACGAAGGGTGTGTCTACTCTGGCTCGTTAATTCAAGCTAGGTAGGCAAATGAGGTGACCGGAGTTGCAAATACATTACTTGGCTGTTTTGAAGGGACACCGCCTCTAAGAAATGCAACTAAACTCCTGGCTACAGTCCAACACTTCTAAAAACACCATAGCTAGCTAAAAGGGCAGGGTAGATCAGTTCCCCGCAAAGACACGAAGGGTGTGTCTACTCTGGCTCGTTAATTCAAGCTAGGTAGGCAAATGAGGTGACCGGAGTTGCAAATGAAGCCTGGGATTTAAATATCCCGGGCTTTATTTGCATGTTCCTGTCCGGTCGCCATTTTGAAATTTCACTAGTCCGAACTCACTGCCGCGCAGCTACACGCGGCAGTGAAATGTTAATTCAAACTAACTCCTTAGTTCGAATTAGCAGTTACTCCTCATTCCACAAGGACTTAGTTCGAATTAATGTTTCACTGTCACGTGTAGCCACGTGGCAGTGAGTTTGGGCTAGTGAAATTTCAAAATGGCGACCGGACAGGAACATGCAAATAAAGCCCGGGATATTTAAATCCCAGGCTTCATTTGCAACTCTGGTCACCTCATTTGCCTACCTAGCTCGAATTAATGAGCTAGTGTAGACATACCCTCTGATAGAACATCTTTTGTTATCATACTTTGAGGGGTGGGTTCCCCTCTTTCTTTTATAGCATGACCAGAAGTTAAAGTAGCAGTCAAGTTTTATGGTAAAAAGACATGGATTCAGATTTTCCTTTTCTTTTTCTTCATCGCCTGATTGATGCGGTTGGCTCAGCCAACCTGAATTTTAATGGCCTAAGCAAGAAAAGTTTACAGTAGAAGGGAAGAAATAACAGAGAGGAAAGTCTCATAACTTTGCTTGTCCTCCATAAAGAACTTTTCATTTTCATTAATGGGCTTGTTTAGAGAGAGGTTGCTGAAATCTATTTCTCATGCAAGGGGGTGGGTGTAAGTCTGCATGAATCCAAGATGGCAAAGGTCAGATGTGTTAGATACTTATTCATTAGTCCACTGATTTGTATTAAATATTCTACCCTATTAATATTTTACATTTTAAACAAGATTTTAAAATACCAGATTGGTCTTCATTTTAATCAAAACTAAATATGTATTGTTGGAAAAATAAACACCTTAAGTTGAGAAAACCAGAGGTTTTTTGTGTTGTGTGCTCTAATCTGGAATTCTGAGGCTGATTTCTAATAAAATAATAAAGATAAGTGTCTCCAACACTACCAAAATATTTAGATGACTACTCCCCATTAATTTCTAAAGGAAATGCCGTATGTGGCTTTGAAAATTCCATTCAAAATAACCATACATGAATAACAATGTATGCCAATGACTAAGGAGTATTGGATGAATGGAGAATGTCTACAAATATATGAAGTATGAAAAAACATGGACATAGAGGAATTATGCAGAGTGTACAAGATGGTAAGAACTAAGAGTAAAAAACTGAAATGAGTAATATGATAATGAAGGCAGGATATAAATAAGAAAAACATAATTGACCATATTGAGTATTAACACAACACAGAATAGTCTCACCATTGCGTAGGGCATTAAAAACTGGGTTGGACAATTACATTCTTGGAAGTCACAAAGTTGGCACTATTACAGATAGTCATAATTGAATGTCTAGGTAGGTAGAACTTGGAGAAATGCTTCATGGTAGTGGGGCAATTCTTCTAGGAAACAGAGCATAACTCCAGAAAAGTTTGTCTTGAGAAGCTTTCTAAGAGTTGTTCCCCCCTGACTGAAATACTTGGTTAGGTACAAAATAGACCCACAGAACAATCATCACCAAAGAAATGATATTGGAATATTTCAAAAGCACTTAAGGCAGATAGGCTGCCAATTCCCATCCCCTTAGACACTGTTGAAAATCCCAGTCTTTGGCTGCGGCTAGACTGGCAAGTTTTTCCGCAAAAGCAATTGCTTTTGCGCAAAAACTTGCCAGCTGTCTACACTGGCCACTTGATTTTGTGCAAAAGCACTGACATTCTACTGTCCAAAATCAGTACGCAAATGCTTTGACGTTCCCGTTCAGGCAAAAGCCCTTTTCCGGAAATGTTTTTGCACAAGAGGGCCAGTGTAGATAGCTAAAAACTGTTTTGCGCAAAAAAGCCCTGATGGCGAAAATGGTGATCGGGGCTTTCTTGCACAAAACCGCGTCTAGATTGGCACGGATGCTTTTCTGCAAAAAGTGCTTTGCGGAAAAGCATCCGTGTCAATCTAGACGCTCTTTTCCGCAAATGCTTTTAACGCAAAAACTTTTCCGTTAAAAGCATTTGTGGAAAATCATGCCAGTCTAGACGTAGCCAAATTTGTGATTTAATAAAAACCCATTATAGGTGAAGCTCCAGTGAATCACACTGCCAGTGGGGAAGAACTAGATGTCCCAAAAGATTTCTTCCCTCTTTAATTGAAAGGATGCTACACAGACACATCTTGTGACTCAGAAATCCTGGCAGATAGAACAGTGAGAGAGAGGGTGAAGGTTTGGTGAGGTGAGTGTTCCTTGCCAGGCACATGGACAGCTTTTAATGGGTGGTGGCCCGTGACTCAGGTAGGGATTCTGAGAGGATGCTCAGAGGTTTATCTGTTCTCCTGGCTTCTGGGACACAGGAAACATGAAAAACAGCCTTAGAGCTGCGTCTCTCTCTTGCTTACTGAGGTCATGTCTGTGTTACTGTTCCCAGGACTGTCCCTGCTTATGCTCTTTGGTCATGAGGCCACCGATCAGAACTTCTGCCTTGCCATGCATGATTAAGGCAATGCTGCTCTATGCCTAGTAAACATTGACAACTCTTCCAATTTACGAACAGTCTGAGGGAGGCCTACTGTTGAGTCCATGGTTCTCTTCCCTTGATGCCTTTCACATAAAACTTACGGGGTCCCCCCAAGACCTGTACTGAGGCTAGGGCCGTTCAGCATAATCAGAAATTATGGGTATGTCTACACTGCATCCCTAGTTCGAACTAGGGATGCAAATGGAGACAATCGAAGTAGTTAATGAAGCGGGGATTTAAATATCCCGCGCTCCATTAACATGATCTCGCCGGCGCGCTAGTTCGAATCACAGCTGATTCGAACCAGGAAGTGCGCGCCGGGACGCGTTAGTTCGGACTAAAGCCCTTAGTCCGAACTAATGTTACTCCTCAAAATAGCTCAGTCTCATAGCTGATTGCCAGGAGTTACAATGGCAGCTCAAAGAAGTGGGCGGCTGGGCCACTAAAGGGCGGCTGTCATTCAACGTTGATCCATGCAGAGCAGTGCACATGCACATTTGGAAAACGTAATCCCAACTGTACGTATAAAATGATGGGTCTAAAATAGCTGTTAGGACTCGAGAGAGACATCTTGGAGTCATTGTGGATAGTTATGGGCAGTGGCTACAATAAGTCAGAGGATGCTGAGTTTCCCCTAGCATGCCAACATGCTGTTGCAATCCTGGGCCCTGCCCTTCACATCTTTTCCTCCTTGCTCTGCCCCTTTCCTGAGACCCTCACCCACCGCTTGCCACTGCCTCTTGAATGAGTCCCTCCTCTCCTCCACTCCACCAGCCTCTCCTAAGATCTCTGCTATGTGCCGCATCCCTCCTTATCCCCTCAGCTACACCGACAGGACACAGCAAGTGCAAGGAGGGACGCCGTAAGCAGGGGGTGGGGGCTGTCTCACAGGGTTGAGGGTGAGGAGGAATGCAGTGGGTGTGGGGGGCCTTGAGGGTGATGGGAACACAGTGAGTGGTGGGTGTATCATGGAGCAGGGGGGAGGAGGAATGTGGAAAATGGCTCACTGAGGAGGACCTCAAAGGAGCAAGGCTGGAGCAGAGGAGGGAAGTGATGAGCAACAGGTGGGGAGGGAGTGTGTGTCACAGGGGAGAGGGTGGAAGAGAGGAGGGATGAGGCAGGCAGGGGGGGTCAGCAGCTACTTATTGGAGATGTTGGCAAGTTATAATAAAAACAAGCGATGAAGTCAAAATCTGGGATGGGTGGACATGGAGAGGGTGTAGTTGCTTGGGAACATGGCAGTCTCCTGGAAGGAAACATTTTCTGTTATCTCTGCAGCTTTGGAAGGTAGAGGATTTAGTCAGTGGCCAGCATCTCTCTCCGTGACTGGAAACCCACAAGTTTAGACCTGCAGGGCCTCTTCTGAAAAGCTTGTGTAGAAACTGAGCAGGGCAATTGCTTACAGCTCTCTTGGTTGGTACACCAATAAGAATGCTAGCATTTAATGACTTCAGCCTAATAGATAACTGGGCAGGGATACTTAACTAGCCCAGTTATATCAGGATAACAACCCTCATAAACAAGCTGGAGATATGTTGCTAGGATGCTTATGGAGAGCTAACATTGCTCACTGCTGGTGCTGGGTTTATATTGTGGAAGCTAGAAGGCTTCATCTATCATTTTGCCACCTTTAAACAGCCCTGAATTCAAGAGTGAAATTCAGCCCTATTAAGAGGGTCTGTATGAGGCCTGACCACTGTTTCAGTGTAAATTAAATAGTGAATTTCATCCTTAAAAATTATTTGAGCTCAGAAATGTGGATGCCAGTGTCAACGGTGTTCTCAGATCACGTCTTTCTCTGGACTGAGCAAATACCTTTAGCTGACTTTATTTTTTTAAAAAATTTCCTACTTTGTATTTCCTTTGTTTGTTCTTATTTGGAAAGCAAATCCTGAGCTGAATCTTTTTGGGGGAGCTCCTCTACTATCTTTCTGCAAGTATCCTGAGAAAAGATCCAGTCTCTAAACTAAAAATATATATATATATTAGGCTTACAATGGGGTAGATTAGAAAGCAAAGTGAAAAAATGCTGCAACCATTAAGAAGGGACATTTCCTTGATCTGGACAAAAGGTTGAGATTAGTTTTGCAAGCCATCTTTGAGCGAGTTGGGTTCAAATCACAAGACTTCACCATGAAATTCCAGTGAAAGCAGGGCTGCATATCATACAATATAGCAAATATACATAAATACATTTTAGGCCAGATCCTCAGCGGGCATAAACTGCTGTAGCTCTATTGACGTCAGTCGAAGTTTACCAATACCAGCTCTGAATCTGGTCCATGTTTTTATATTTATATTTTCCTAGCAAAGTTTCAGGCAAAGCACTTTGTTTCCAACATGCATAGCACTTCCTTGCTCCATCACGAATAATAATTTGTTTTTAAAAATGGGCAGCTTTGTTCAAACTTTTCATGGAGGCTTTGTAGGTATATGATTTAAAACTCAACTGAACTCAATAGAAACACTCCCACTGACTTCATTAGGTTTTGGATTAGGCACTATTTCTGCTGTTCATAATCATAAATAGCATTGGCCAATATACTGACACATTTCAAAGAAACAAGCTTAACGTCCTTGATTGCGATGTATCAGCAGAAGCACACAACAACAACCAAAAAAAAAAAAAAAGATAAAGAAAACATCCGCATGCAACAAGAAATAATGAACACTTCCCCTTCTGCTCTGAGGCTAATAGAAACCCTTTATTTGCAACATGCCTCACAAAAACACAATAATGTCACGGGATTGTGTACACTTACAGGGTAATGGTGGATAGTTCTGACATCTTGCAAGAGTGCTGGTTAGCCCTCTTGGGCTTACAGTAGCATTTCTGAACGCAGCTGCTAAATATGACAAGATTAGCATTTTTTTCAGAATACCACGAAAAGGCCAAAGTCGGTCAGTTTCAACACATTTCACGAGACATGGCACAAAGATGGAAAATGGATGCAACTCAACGAGAATGCAGCGCAAACCAGCTCTTCAATCAAAGCGAAAACATAAATCAGAGGCATGAGCAGCTGCTGGCAATTGCAGGGTTTTGCTTCACAGACAAGTTAAAGAAGGAACCACCTGGCTGCTGGTGATTAGAACATTCAGCATTAAAAAAATACATGTGACTTTGCTGCTGTCGGATACTGCACAGAGAGTAAAAGAACAATATGCTTAACTGAAACAGCTCATGGGTAATATGGAAAACAATTAAATAGTAACACCAATTTATAAAACAGAAATTGCTGTAAGTCTGTGCTGTTATCTGACCAGCCCCAAATGAAAGGCATGTGTAACTCTGCAACTTGTGTGATTGGTTCATCAGTGGAAAGTGGCCATGGACACCAATGTGTTTTTTTCTTTCTTTTTACTTTAGCTTCCCCTAAACCATGGACATTCCTGTGTGTGTGGCTGGCTCTGTTCATTAGGATGCTTTGTCAGTGTGCTTATGCTCAGAAGAGTGTACAAGTATACCAACTTTATACAAGTAAGAACAACTTTATTCAATCAGCAGTACCACACCTTTTCCTTGAGACTCCTGCTAAGCCGGGGGGTAGGGGAGGCCTCCATGCACTCTCTGCATGTCAGGAAGATATCCTTGGTGCTAGCAAGAAAGGTAGCATTGGGACAAGTTGGGGGAACCTTGTGGCCAACAACCTTTATATAGCACATGCATGTGGCTTCTGCCTCACTGTTTCCCCCCGGGACTATGTCTACACGATGAGTTTTCTCGGCCAAAAATATGCTAATGAGGGACTCATTTGAATGAGTCTCAATCTCATTTATATATTTTCTGCTGATCCGTTTTTGCTCAAAAACAAGCAGGGTGGATGTTTTCTTTTTCCGCAAGATCGGTATACCTCCTTTTTGGGGGGCATAAGGATCTTGCAGAAAAAGGGTGCTTTGCGCAAAAAGAAAACATCCACGCTGCTTGTTTTTGCGCAAAACGGATCAGCAGATCATAACTCATGCAAATGAGTCCCTCATTAGCATACGTTTGCCGAGAAAACTCGTTGTGTCGACGTAGCCTTGGAATTCTAGCAAGGGAGACAGTGTTCACATGGGTCTGAGACTCTTTGGGAACCTCATCAGTGAAAGGTCACCCTGGGGTAGCCCTGGCATCAAATGCCTTGTCCCTGCAAGCCTGGCCCAATCTGGGGAACAAGCGTGTGGCAGGAGCAGAGCTTATGGATGCTTTGTATTGCAGCAACCCACCCACAGGTGGACTTTTCACTTTGCCCTAGATTACACTGGTGGCACAAATCTGGTAGGAATGAGACCCTCAGAAGTCCAATGAGATAGCTTCCCCCATGGATCCCGCTCTCTGCTTCTGAGTACAAAATCCAATGAGATAGCTTCCCCCATGGATCCTGCTCTCTGCTTCTGAGTACAAAATCAAAGGCTCAGTTTTAATGTATAAACAATATATTATTTTGGGTATGGTTGGTCTACAGACCACATTCTCCACTGGTGTAGGTAAATATAGGTCCCCTGAAGTGGAAAGGCTGACCCCTAATATTCCATCCTGTGCGGCCCATGCTGCATGTCTAAGAGATGCAGCACAGAAATTGTAAACCAAGAGGTGAAGGGCTAAGGAGGTGGCTGTAAGCCACTCTGGTACTTTCTGCGTACTGGGGGGTCCAGAGCAACTCACAGTATGAATTACCCAAATCTAGAAGGCTAAACTATGGTAGCCTCCTTGTCCAAAATCTTTGCTGTGCTGCAGCGCTGCAACTCCCTCCCCAAACAGGCTCCTCCCTCCCCCAGCATGCCTCCTAAATTTAAGAGGAAGTCCTCAGACAACAGCAGAAGCTGGCTTTCTCATTTCCTGAATCAGGGGAGTTCTGCCCTTGCTGGATCCAAGACTTTTGGCACTCCCTTATGCTCTTCCAGTCCTTCCATCTGTTCTCTTCCCCTCTGGTGGGTAAGACCATCTGAGGGGCTCCAGCGAGCAGCTCACAGATTTGTAATTCTTGGGTCAGATGGCAAAGAATTTCCTGGAGAGACTCACGACTGCAGTTTGCTTCCCAACCTTATCTCACAGATGTTAGTTCATTGTTTTAATTTCAACGTTTATTTCTTTACTCAGGCCGTTGCCCAGAGAGGTGGCATTAGCAGGAAGCAGTTTTGATGAAAAATTTGGGGACATTTTTGCACTTGACACCATGTCCTTCTCCAGTTGTGTTAATACATTATTTCATGGTTTTGTGCATCTGCCTCCTGGTGGCCAAGTCAAAGCTAAGCTGATTGTGGGGCAGAAGGTGCATTTTATGAATTGAACAATAAAGTAGAATAAATATGGTGCAGCTAAATCATATTCATTACTACGGTAAGAACGACTGAGTCACTTATTAAAGATACCACTCTGTACCTTCACAAACCTCGACAACTGCATTCCAATTGCAGAATGTTTACTGTTAGTGATGTAAGAGCCAGACAGAACAGAGCAGGAGTTTTAGGTCTCTTGGGGCACATACAGTTCTAGCAGATAGGAAAAGATAATGATGCTTTGACTTGTAAGCAGAGATAATTTACGGTGCTTGATGCTGAGAGTAAATATAGGATTGCCTGGTCTTACTGTTGGAAAATCACTTCTCAAGAATATAACTTACTTATTGCATCCTGTAGCTCGGGGCGTGCATGAAGAAATTCCGGGGGGGAGGGAGCACGAGGCAACCCAGCCACACACACTCCCGTCAATCCCATCCCAAGTTTTGCTGCTATTTTGGCATTGTTTGGCAACTGAAATCATAAGGAGATCTTAGGAAAATGTTTTAAAAGATTCTTTTGATGAGTCCTGACATTTTTAAAAGTGACTAGCAATCTGCAGTGCCTCACTGGTTTTCAGAAGGCCAGTGCTCAGCAGTTTCTGAAATCAGGCCCTTTTTACAGTGTCTCAAAATGGGCATGCAAAAATGGACCCACCCCAAACTGCTTACTGCTTTTGAAAATCTTAATCCGAGATTTATTTATTCCTGACACGTTTCCATGCAGCATCTTCTTTGAAGGTTGAGAAATGGCTCCCCTGATCACATCGACTCCTTTTCTACTTAGAGATAACATCTTTCATTGGACCAACTGCCTCTCATATCCTAGGACTGACATGGCTACAGCAACACTCCTTTTCTAGTTGTCAGATTAATTTTCCAGTGTGTGTATATACATAAAATTCTAGCGGATAAGAAATGAAAAAGATTCTGCTTGTTTGCTAAACTATCATTATCACCAGAAAAAAAAAAACACAGTCCTGGAAACAATATTTGAGATACTACTGCTGCTGCAAAGCCAGGAAAGAGCAGTACACATGTTGTTTTTGGATAATTATGGAAAAGGTCTGTAAAACTTAATAAAAAACAACTAAACCTTTCCATGTTTCCCCCCCTACTATCCTATTGAACTTAACAGAGAATGACATCCCTTGTATTCTACAAGATCAACCAAAAATATGTAGAATGTGAATCTGCTAGAATCTTTTATACCCACTAGTGTTTGATTATTTTCTTTGCCAAACAATAGTTATATCAGAATCCATTGCCTTTTCCCCTCTTTAGTCACTGAAAAACAGCAGAAAGAAAAGACAGGGAGACAAACACTTAAAAAAAGGGGGGGAGTGTTTTCTTAAAATCAGAAAAAATGTTTTCCCCATAAAAGTTCTCAAAATCCCAGTTTTTTCCCCTCTTAAAACATACTTACACCTGATTTAATTTGACCTATTCCCCTTCTAAACAGAGCAAAAAGCTCATGATGTCGAATCATTTCTTAATGTTTTATGACAGTTTATTTTGAATAGCATCAGCACTTGGATAATACACTCATAGTGGATTTAGAAATGCTGATAGATCAGATTAGTTCACTAAAACGGGAACTAGGATTGTCATCAAGGCAGTGTAGATAGAAATTAAGATGTAGAACTTAGCTCAGTAGAGTTGCACAGATGTAAGCGAGGAAGAATTGGTTGTAAAGGGAGGAAACTTTACATAAGTTAAGAATAATGCTATTAAGAATCCCTGGCAGAGGATGAAAGTAACTTAAATTTCATACAGGCACTGTTGCATTGCATCCTCTCAAGGTTAGGTGTTGCAGGGTTGTGTTACAACAGTGCCTCTAAGATTTTTAAGTGTGGAGGTGGAGTGTGAGGAGCTCAGCTTAGATGGTTGTGGTGGTGAGGGGAGGGGGGAGTTCAGAGCAGTGGGTGGAGATTTGGGGGGCTGCAGGAGTCAGGGCAGGAGCTTGGGGGTGTGGGGTCTCAGGGCAGGGGTCTGAGGGTATGGGGCTACAGGTGTAAGGATTGGGGTGTGTGAGGAGGGGCTCAGGACAGAGAGTTGGGGTGTGTGGAGAGGTGCAGGTATGTCTATATGGGCTTGGAAAGTCAAAATCAATGCAGAACCATGGAGCTGCCAAGCATTTTCTGGCTAGAAGGCAGATAATGGGACCAGATACCTGTAGTTAGGCTATTTTTGTTTCCACTGCTTGCATGGTATCAATGACGTGAAGCCCCAGTGCTGCTTAAAGCTACATGTGTGTAAACCCTGATTAGCCCCACTGAAGTTAAAGGAGTTTACAGCAGGGTAAGTAAAAGCAGAAGTTGCTCCAGATTTACCTGATGGTAACCAAGAGCAGAAGCTGACACATGAGCTTTGGCTGCTTGTGGGAAGCCAGCACCACTGGTCTACAGGCTTAGACTTGCTGGTCCTACGCAGATGACCATGGCTACTGATGCTGGCTATTTGATAGAGATAATCTGTGCCAAAGTGTGAGGGAAATACGGCTAAGTGAGCTAGCAAGATAAAGAGATTTTGGCTGCTGTGGGAGGAGGCTCAGGGATTATAACAATCCAAAAGGCTCCAAGTCC